GTATGTCAGCGTATACCGGCGTATGAGTGGTATTTTTCATACGCTGGCATACGCTAGTACGATACACAATAGTGTGACAGGGCCTTTACATTGGCATCACCTTCGTATACATCAACATGAACGAGCTCAAAAACAGGCCTCTGTGACTCAGCTGGCATAGAGACGATACACAATAGTGTGACAGGGCCTTTACATTGGCATCACCTTCGTATACATCAACATGAACGAGCTCAAAAACAGGCCTCTGTGACTCAGTTGGTTAGAGCGCTGCACCGGAATGGCAGGGCCTTTACATTGGCATCACCTTCGTATACATCAACATGAACGAGCTCAAAAACAGGCCTCTGTGACTCAGTTGGTTAGAGCGCTGCACCGGAATGGCAGGGCCTTTACATTGGCATCACCTTCGTATACATCAACATGAACGAGCTCAAAAACAGGCCTCTGTGACTCAGTTGGTTAGAGCGCTGCACCGGAATGGCAGGGCCTTTACATTGGCATCACCTTCGTATACATCAACATGAACGAGCTCAAAAACAGGCCTCTGTGACTCAGTTGGTTAGAGCGCTGCACCGGAATGGCAGGGCCTTTACATTGGCATCACCTTCGTATACATCAACATGAACGAGCTCAAAAACAGGCCTCTGTGACTCAGTTGGTTAGAGCGCTGCACCGGAATGGCAGGGCCTTTACATTGGCATCACCTTCGTATACATCAACATGAACGAGCTCAAAAACAGGCCTCTGTGACTCAGTTGGTTAGAGCGCTGCACCGGAATGGCAGGGCCTTTACATTGGCATCACCTTCGTATACATCAACATGAACGAGCTCAAAAACAGGCCTCTGTGACTCAGTTGGTTCGAGCACTGCACCGGAATGGCAGGGCCGCAGGTTCGAAATCTGCCAGAGGGCCGATAGTTGCATTTTTCACAACTGCTCCTGGTTAGGTTTAATAAATGTATTTAAGATTTACACTCGCAATTTCCATCTACAAAACCCATCAACAATTAGTTGTATCGAGTGAGATGCCCAACATCCTGATATTATATATATAACCATGAACTAATTCTTACTTATAACCCAGGTTATTAAATAACTACGAATATATATTTATTTAGGTGCATGAATGTGTTAAACATCGATATCGTGGTACAAATCATCCACGGAACTGTAAAATAAAGTAAAAATATTCTAGCCAATACGATTCAAAGATACGATTATTTAAAGGGACATTATCAAGCAATGAAGATAGAATTCTAAACAGACATCACTTAGCTCATATTTAGCAAGTATAAAAATAACCCAAAATGGAGCTATTAATGTGTCAAGATAAAAGGTCAAAATTTATTTTTGGTTAGATTTTGTAATAAACTGCATGCCACATGTTTTGTCGCATCCCACAACCCCCTACATGCCTCATGGGAAGGTCACAATTTCCTGCAAAAATTGTTTGGTGGGACCTTCCGTGACGCAGCGATCGAGGGCCTGTGGAGGAGCAATCACACATGCATCAGCGAAATGATTGTTGTAGTGCCCTAGCTGGTATCCGAACTTTGAAATATGACTTGTACTTACACGGTATTCAGTATTCGTGATATCACAGTAAGAACGTAGTGAGAAAGAGAGCAGTGAGTAACAACACGTAATGTGATAGTAACAACACGGAATGTGACTGAACTGTAGTACTTGATGGCTGACCTACAGTGAAGATAAAAATCACCTTGTTACTTTAGTCTTCTCGCGATTTAGTTTTCTGAACAAAATGTTGTTGAGGGGAGGATGACTCGCCAAAGCCCCCCCCCCCCAACATGCACACAGTGTGTCACAGTTACAAGTTTCACATGATGCATGTTAGAGAAATAAAAATAGTTTATAAATACATATAATATTTTTTGTTTGTAGAAACACCACGTTTGTTTTACCAAATTCACCAATCCTTCTACATGATCTTTCCAATCCTGCAGTGTTTCTGGCAGATAGTGATACATTAAAATCATTTCTGGTCAACTCCACCAACTCGCCCAGACAATTGATGTTAGTAATATTGTCATGTGTACATACAGGAGTAGGGTTACCAACAGCTGTTAAATTGACGAAGATTTTATTATCCTTAGAAAACGGCACACTGCAATTCAGGTGTAAATCTAAAAAAAACAAAAAAACTTTAAAACCACAACAAACAGCTAGGTCCTTGTGATAGCGCTCGTTAGGTAAAAATTAATTAATATCATTTTATTCTTCCCCAATGTTTTATATGTTTTGTATTTACGACATGTTTTAGATGTTTTACCTTAAAGTTTTTACTTTTTTCATGTTATAATGGATGTGTCGTATATTCCTTGTTTATATGTTAATAGTATTTACATGTTTTACACACGATTTACCTATATTTTACACACGTTTTTTCTTTGCATGTTTGTGGTAGGTATGTTTATATGCTTACCATCTTGTTATACAGTATATGGTTTAGTTACTTCACTTGTCACTCATTTTCACTGTAATTAAAACATGTGACAGGGCGAAAGGTACAGGAATTCTGCACCAAAAGAACGATGAAAATATTATTGTATATTAATTTTTGAAAGACTTACAAATAACATTGAGAGATATTGAACTTTGCACCTCGCCTTCAGAATTATTTCCCTTGCATATATACGTTCCTTGATGTTGTTCAGTTATGTGGTTTAAGCTGAGTATAGCACTACCATTACCAATAGCTTCTTGTTCATTGTTTTTATTGACCCAAGTTACTGTTGGAGTAGGAGCGCCAGATACTTGACATTTCACATACAACGACTCCCCAATTTCTTTTGCAATATTAACAGATTCAGTATTGTTGATATGCAAACTATGAGGACGCTCTAAAATAAAAAAAAAGCAATGGGATCTCACTGATACTTACAATACAGTATGGCATTTTCATCCCTGCCCAAGTATAAATCTTCATTAACAAAAACAGAAAACTAATTTTACATTATTATGGGGAAAGAAACATGCATGTTCACAAAAAAATCCTTTCAGCAAGTTTTTGTGCTAAGCAAATCAGAATTTATTAACTTAAATACGACATACTGCATTATTGCTGCCTTCCGCCAGGGAGGCAGCACACTAATCTTGTAGGGTCTAGTCTCCTCTCGCGAACTATGTAAAGTGCTGGGCAAATTTCGATTTGATGTGTGTTTGTATGAAAGATTTTAAGTGCGCTAAACAATATTGTAATATAGCATTTGTAAATTCTGAACGCTGATTAGCTAAGAGCCGTGTTGATATAACTCAACATCAACACGGAAAATTTCTTTCTTTTTATTTGAAAAAAAAACAAAACATGTTTTGAAAAACACGTGGATTCGAACAAGCCAAAAGTTTCTGAAATTAAAAAATATTTTGTTTCCCTATGGTAAATACAATATCGCTTTTTACGTATTAATAGCTCAGTTTGTTGAACAAACAATTCCCCTGTGTGAGAGGAACTGTCAAATTGATTTTGTCACTTGAAGATCGCATGTAGCTACTACCTTCATGCTCTTAAAAATCACCTTAAAAAATAAATAATTATCTACCCATTGTGGTTACAAAAAGACAGCCAAATTTGGCTTGTTAAACATGGAGAGTACTTGCAAGGTTTCATTGCAAACAATGATGGAGTCGAGACTGTTGACACTTCTTACATTACACTCCATTCACCTGTTTGTTATTGTATAAAAAGGGAGAATATAACATGCCCCTCTTGGTTGGATTATTATGACGCATACCTCCCTGACGCATACCTTATGTAAACAAAACATAGCCCTTCTAGCACTGCTATGGGGTTACCCTACATCCATGTAAACAGGCCCTTAGTTTATCGTCTTCACCACAGACAGTTCATACTGTGCTGTTGAATTTTGTTTATGTGACGTTTGTTATTAATTACATGTTATATTGATTGCATTCGATTTTATTGTTCCAAGTGAGCGCGAGCAAAGTTGTAAAATGTGAGAGTCAGAGGCAGCATTTTTCTTGCGATAGTAACTTCTAGTGATAACACATTATTGAATTCTGTCATTTAATTGGCTGATGATGATTACGTGATATTGAATAAAAATTGCCGTTTCCCATTTTATCGCGAGTACGCAATGGAACACTGTGCGCTTTCATAATCACAGCTCGTGTAAAACTCAAACCTTCAAAATAAGGCGAGCGAGGGAGTTAAATTTAAATGCATAATTTGTGCGAAGCAAAATGGCGAGTATGAAAATACTATTTACGAGAATGATGATGTTGAGTTAAATGAAAGCAATTATTCAGACCTTTGAATTGAGGTTGGCAATCGGCAATTGCCGACCTGATTTAGTTTTAGGTTGGCAAATTTTTGCCCACCTGATTTTTCGCTAATTCAGAGGCCTGATTATTATCAATAATAATTATATTATTAACTCTTCATTCAAACTTTTTTGGGACATATTTGTTGGATTTTCTTATTAGTATTAATTTTAAACAGGTATGTGTATTTATTTTGTATTTAATTTAAAAAATTGATAACATTGTCATTGATTTATTTTGGTGTTAAGAAAGCAAATAATGAATGATTGTTTTCATTCTTGCAAGAGTAAAAATATTTTGCTAATGGGAAGTTAATAATGGAAAATTCCAACTTTCACCTCATGAAAATATTTGTACCATAACTCATAAGGGCTATATATTGCACTAATAAACATTCATTTTGGTTTGTGGAACCACTACACTTTTGATCCGCAAAGCCCGGACTTCATCAGTGCTAATAATATGACTTGTTTAATTCACATGGTATTTTGGTATATAAAGAGACGTGTGAAAATTTTAACCAAGTCATATTTTATTAGCACTGATGAAGATCCAGGCTTATGGACCGAAGCTCTACCAATAAATAATAAATTTACGGGGTATTTCCACAAACCACAAATGATACTAATACTTTGTTAACAAGCTCTAATCATAGCCTGTCGAAGGGAAGATGGCTGTGAAACTCATTATAATAACAATATAACTCGTTATTTATGTTAGTCAACGTTTACTATCTGTATTTTTGCCAAATCCACCAATAGCAATTTCCAATTTACCCTATTGTTCGAGTGGGAATACGCACGTGACGGTAAGGACCAGATTTATGAATAAACGTCGATTAACATAGATGAGATATATTGTTATTCTAATGTGTTTCATAGCCATCTTCCCTTCAATAAGCTATGCTCTAATACATGAAATTGTGTGGAACAATTGTAATTTATTTTGGATGTAATTTTTTGCATTATTACGAATTGTCCGCAGTAGCCTAAATACATTTATATAGAATTTCCAAACTGCCAAAAAGAATAGAACAACACAAAACGACATCAGAAATCCTTGAACAGTCGTATTTAGATAAACTTTCAGTTATCTAATAAATTAATAAATCTATGAATTACTAAATAAACTAACCAACCAGAGCGAGTTAAGTAGTAATTGTTACTGACAGTATATGTGAACAATTATAAATATTGATCAGATTGTTGGTGAATAGGTTATTACTGATAAAATGAAGAATAAGTAATAAGTGGAACCTACCAGTAACATACAAAGAGACCTTTGATAGATTCCCAGCGTTTATAATACCAATTACTTTAAAACTATAAAAACCTGTATCAGCTGTTGTAACGTTAGACAAAACCATTCGAGCAGAAATACGAGTTAATTTAAGTGAAACAGGTATGGTGATACTGACTCTCTTCAAATATTCTGTTGTACCAAATATTCCTGTTGAATTCGTATTAGGATTAACTTTGAACAGGAGTGTATTGTTTCCACCAATGTGAGTAATAATTTCTCCATGATCAATATCCTCACCAGTGTCTTCGTAAATCCATACAAATGTCACTGTAGAACCTGTTTTGACGATCTTGTCACTTGGTTCGGCAAGAAAATGTGCTGTACCTATAGGCAAGCACAATATACAATGTATCAGATGAAGCTTTCACAAAAACTGAAACAGTTTCATATTGATCAGTTGACTGGTGGAAGCAAACAACAAATTACAAATTTGAGAAAACAATTTGCTAAAAATAATTACAAATTTGAGAAAACTAAATGTTATTTGATGCATGGCTTTTGGGAATGATTGCATGCCTAACAAAACAAAGGAGTGCAATCCTACCCTTTTCATCACTGGGGAAAAAATGTGAAATCCATGCTATGAAGTTTGCAATTGCACCACTAAATCCATAGTATATCCATACTATTTCCATAGTATATCCATAGTATATCCATACTATTTCCATACTATATCCATAGTATATCCATACTATTTCCATAGTATATCCATAGTATATCCATACTATTTCCATAGTATATCCATAGTATATCCATACTATTTCCATACTATATCCATAGTATATCCATACTATTTCCATACTATATCCATAGTATATCCATACTATTCCCATACTAAATCCATAGTATATCCATACTATTTCCATACTATATCCATAGTATATCCATACTATTTCCATAGTATATCCATAGTATATCCATACTATTTCCATAGTATATCCATAGTATATCTATACTATTTCGATACTATATCCATAGTATGGAAATATACAATTATTATGATAATCAAAATCCATGTTATTCCCAATAAAGGTCCATACAATTTCCATGCTATGACCTTCTTTGGATTTTCAAAATTTTTTCCAGTGCATGGGAATCAGTCGGGTGTTGAATCTTTATCCATCTCAATTTTTTGAAAGTAATTATGCATACTTACACTAACTCAGTCATTACTACAATAGCAAAATACAACATGTCATTATTTCTGTAGCTTCCACCTTGTTTCCAATTATTATATGATTAACCTATACAGATAACTAATGTATTGGTCTTTTAGATGCTCACTAAATGCTTCATAATTTGGAATGAAGCATGCTGTGCAGTAAAGTGCATAGGATTCATATATTATATATTGTAGGGCAACTTAGTAGCGTCACACTTTTTGATGAGGTGTAAAAACATGCCTATGTCACTATAATAATATCTGTTTATTAATCAATTGTTTTGCAGTAAAACTGAATTATACAATTGTTCCTATGTTATGAACTAATTTGCGTACTATTAACATTTTAACATATATAGACATACAGTGTATAAAATTATACTTACATAATTACAACATATAGAGGACTAAACTAGGACAATTACGTATATTTAATGGTAATAAAGTTGTCGAAATGTTCAGTAAAGGTTCTCACAGTTCTATTTGATCTACGTAAAAAGTAATCATCTGATTATATTACAGACTGGATTGTTTTTACATGCTTTATCTTCCCGGTTGAGTTGACAAATCTCCGACATAACTCTTCTCTTCGATGTCATTCGAAGGTTTTGGGCCTTGAGGTTTGTAATGCCTCATAATAAGATATGTCAGAGTATCTAATCTTGATTTTTTTTGGACCGATACGAGATGAGAGGATACTAGGTAATCAGGAAGAGCTGCCCATATTGGGGATGCATATTCAAGTATGGAGCGAATAACTGAGCAGTAGATGGTTATGAGATGAGTGAGACCCAGGCCTGCTTTCTTCAATAATTGGAGGGCAAAGAGTCCGGAGTTAGCTTTCTTCAAGATAAGATCAACAAGCTGTGTACTCTTTCAACGTATTGTCCATTAATGAAAATAGATTGATCGTATGAAATTCGGTATTGAAGAAAATTTATAATCATTTCTTTTCATTTTTTGGGATTAAGCTCCATTCCACGAGCGGATGAGAATTGGGAGATTTAAAATCTTCAACAACTAAAGGCAATACACTAGGGGAGCACCTTGGGACTACTTCCAATGCTGTTGTATCATCTACAAATTTTAAACGAGCATTCCTGTTCTTTAATAATGGGTTAACCAAGATAGAAAATAGAAGAGGACCCAAACATGTTCCTTGGGTAAACATCCATTCAATTTGGCACTTTTCCACGAAGACTGATGGCAATCAAATTTGACACATTGTTGACGGTTAGTCAAGAACGTTGTAATTCAGCGAGTGAGGACAGGGTGGACATTAAGATTTTCAACTTCGTACTGGATGGCCTATGCATTCACATGCATTCACAGTATATATATTAATTGACGCGGTTGTTTTAATAATTAACGAGATGACATAAATTGTTATTGTGTGGATCGGCCCGGACGAAGTCAGATTCTGTGATTGTCTACAGGCGGAATCTTTGTTTGCATGTGTTGAAGATTACATATTTTGTTAAATAAAGGAAGAAATATTCAAATTAATGAGACAAAATGGTCGGCCATAATATATGTGCAGAGCAATCAGTATAGGCAGCCATATCTGGCATTTTGCTCAGCTAATAGCCGGTGGCCGACCATTTAATAAATCTATCCATTCCGGGGTAGTTCCTGCATGACAAGTGGAAATTAGCAAACGTCGTTCCTGTCTACAAGAGGGGAGAGAAAGAAGATGTACAAAATTACAGACCAATCTCTCTTCTATGTATTGTGTCTAAATTGCTGGAGAGATGTGTGTTGAACAATGAAACACATCTGGGAACATTTGCGTGTGATCCTCATCGAGTGTCAGCATGGTTTTGTACCGGGCAAATCGTGCACTGCTCAGCTCATTGACGTTCTAGATAAGATTGGAAGATTGCTCGACCGAGGAGAGCAGATAGACGTCATATACCTAGATATGTCCAAGGCTTTTGACAGGGTGAATCACAAAATATTGATAGAAAAACTACGCCATCTAGGATTGACTAACCTCGTCAGATGGTTCAAATCATACCTTTATCGTCGCCGTCAACAGGTTACCGTCCTTGGAGCAACATCACCCACCTTGCCGGTAACGTCTGGTGTTCCCCAAGGTTCTATCCTCGGTTCTGTACTATTTCTGTTGTACGTACTCAATGATTTACCTGACAAATTCTCCTCATCAAAGATAGCTGCCTTCGCAGTTGACACGAAAATCATCAAGCGCATTTCAAGTATACCTGACAACATTCACCTGCAGGAGGACTTGAATAGCTTAGTGCAGTGGTCCAGTTCCACTGATCTTACGTTTAACCCAATCAAATGCAAAGTTCAGACCATATCGCGCAAACGAAAGCCAATCAAGACTTCTTACACCATGGACGACTCAGATTTAGAACATTGCAGTCATGAAAAAGACCTTGAAGTTTGGATATCATCTGACCTGACGTGGAAGAAACAAGTGCAGACGCAAAGTGCTAAAGCCAACAAGATCTTGGGCTATGCAAAGAGAACAACACAGCGCATAGGTAGTGTCAGAACTAGGAGAACAATCTATCTGACTGTTGTTCGTGCACATCTTGCTTATTCATCGCAGGTCTGGGCCCCTCAAACTGTGGAACTGATCAAAGAAATAGAACGAATTCAACGACGTGCCAACTAAATACATACTTCAACTACCATATCGCTGTCCTGACACTTACAAAGAACGACTTAACCAGACAGATTTACTTCCACTCTCCTATTGGCATGAATATTTGGACATGGCACTACTATTCAAACTTACTAACAACATGACTTACACAGAGAAAGCACTTTTACCGATAGTCGACGTCAAAGAACCAGGAAGGTCAACAAGACTAGCAGCCGAGCTGATGGCGCCATTATGTTAGAGGAACAGCTGTGTCGAACTTCTACTTATGCTAGATCGTACTTGGTTCGATCAAAAAGGGTGTGGAATGTTCTGCCAAAGAAAATACGCAGGAACACAACGTCTCTGTCTTCCTGTAAACACTTGTTGAAGGAATATTACCACAGTGCTTTAAAATCAACTTATGATCCCGAAGATGCACGGACATGGAAGTCAGTTTGTGTTAAGTGTGGCTCTGCCAGTAGTCTTCTGTCTCTTCCTATGTGCTGTTCTTAACGTCTGTATGTCTTAAGGTGCGTTTACGCGCTGCGATTTTTCGTGTGCGATTCGTATGCGATTAAGGCCCATACAGACCGGACGCGATTTGGCAACGCGACGCGAATTTTCAGTTTTCAATGATATTTTCAATGTTTTTCAGATATTCGGAACCACTTAAGCAATTTTAGCTATTTGGTCTGCATATCTTGTAAATTTTTTATCCGTTGACGGTTTTATTTGTTTTTGAAAACTGAAAATTCGCGTCGCGTTGCCGAATCGCGTCCGGTCTGTGTGGGCCTTTACTTTCAAAAACAATGGATAATTCAATGAACATTCCAATTTTATGTTAACAAAAACAAAAGCGTGCGCAGCGAATAAATTTCACTCACTTAGCGAATAAATTTTTACATTGTCATTGGCGTGTTAATTAAATTAAACCACCTTGCAATTCCATTCACAAATGTAAATAATCATGTAAATATTTTCTCTGAAATGTTGGTTTTCTATGCTTAGCATGTGATATAAAACAAAACGCACCATTAAAACACTGTTTTTTACAAAATATGTTCTCAGAATGCCGCAAATGCCATTCCCGGCATTTAAATTTTAAAATTTTTCGTGCCTTCTGCAAGCACGAAGCCCCTTCCCAATATTTCGCAAAGTGTCCGCCACTGATCCGCGTCGATGTTTACACAACTTCGGGATTTTACGAACTGGAAAGAGACAAATCATTGTAGTGCAGCTTCGAAAGCGCCAACAATTGAAGCGAATAAATATGGTAATCTGGTAAATCCTTACAACACAAAAGATACTTGCCCTAGTGTACCTAATGAGCCTACCAATCTTGTTAACAACAATGAGGTTAGTAATGATTTACATGATTGCACTACAGAAAATTTAAATGTGATATTAACAGTTGATTCAGTACCTGAAAATGACTTAACTGGTGAACAAACTGAAAGAGAAGAAAATCTAAATACCTATGCTAAGGTGGTGTCACAACCAACGTATTGGATTGCTTAGAAGAGTTAAAGTCTTCATCCCATTAAAAGCTCGACTTACAATCTACAATTCTCTCATCCTCCCATTATTCGACTACGCTGATATTATATGGGGTGATAAGAACAACACCACCCTCATGGATCAACTACAAATCCTTCAGAACAAGGCTGCAAAGACGATTCTTGACGCTCCTTACCTATCCTCCTCCACTGAAGCTCTCTCACACCTACACTGGCACCCCGGCGATACTTACATCGAATGCTGACCATATTCAAATTGAAAAATAACCTGATAGACTACGACTTCGACCTATACCTAAAGCCAACCACCTGCATAACACGAGACAAAGAGATCACATTCATCTCAGCAAACCTAGTGCCAATTGGGGAAAGCAGAAACTTCTATACCAAGCTTGTAAGGAGTATAATGATTTGAACAAAAACATTACATCAATTAATCATCTAGCTAGTTTTCATACTGCACTTCTTAAATCTCCACAGTATAATCGAACGCATTTTGCAAATAGCTCTTCTTTGTAATATATAATTATCTTAGTTCTATATTTTAAAACTCTTCTTGTATATATATACATCACATATAACCTGCATGCATATTATTATTGTATAATCTTTTGTATTTGTATAGCCTTTTCAGGGACCTTCTGAAAAACACAATTTGTGATGTTGGTTTTCCTGAATAAATACTATTATCAATCAATCAATCAATCAATCAATCAATCAATCAATCAATCAATCAATCAATCAATCAATCAATCAATCAATCAATCAACTGTACCCGTAACTATCCTGTATCCTGTACAGCCCGTAGCAAATAATGAACATAATCATACCCACAAGAGTTTAAAACACAAAGCCGCGGAGTTATCTAGCGATCCTGACGGCTTCGTGGGTGTTGATCGAAAGCGGAAAAGAACAAAGAAATTTTTTGTGACTGGCATTGCCGAAAATGTAAACGAGAGCCAAATTCTCTCCTATCTCAAAGAACGAAAGATTACTCCAACCTATATTTCCATTTTTCGCAGTCAACGTAGAGGTTCACTTTCTGCTAACATTCCAATAGCTGTATGTTCGCCAGTTGAACAAGACGGTTTTTGACCTAAGTATGTCGGTTGCAAACCATGGCAATCGAATAATCATAATAAAAAATCTGTACAACAGAAAGTTACTACGATAGTAGTAAGGCCCCCCACTCTGGAGTACAAAGGGATGCCGCCAATGACGTCACATTGCTCCGAAAGTAATTAGTATGCAAAATATGTGACGTAACTTTGCTGGCCCTAACCCTAACCCTGGGCCAGGTAGCGCGACCAACTAACGCGGGCAGGCCTGGGCCAACTGTGACAGGTAGCGCGACAAATTAACGCGGACAGGCCTGGGCCAAACGTGACAGGTAGCTATATACAAGAGAATATGTTGTTGTCTGGAGTTTTATAAGTACAGCTCTAGCATTTTGCTGTTATTGTCAAGTCATTCCTTTAATTTAGCTCCTAGAGGAGTAAAAAATCTGATACTATACGAAATAGCATTAGTATTTATATTTATATTATTTCGGGGTATACAGCTATATGTTTTGTTGTTAAGTAATATATAAATATTATCAAGCGTCAAAACGCTGAGAAATAGCATTCGGTAAGAGTTATTATGTATCTACAATTAAACTAATATTTAAATCCCGGTCTGCCATATGAGGTCTATATACGAGAGAATATTTTGCTGTTTAGAGTTATATAAACACATGGAAATTAGGGGTTATGATATATAATTGTCAAGCGATTTCTATATTTTATTGCTAGTTTTTTAAAGTACTAAAACTCGGATAAGGTTAATAAATTTAAGCTATATTAAAGCACACCTGTTGCTATGTGTTGTTAGGGTGACACTAATTAAAGGATTAACTTTTATCAGAGATTTGCATTTTTCTACTGTGTGGATAAATACAGGTAGATTAGGATATTCATTGCGCGGGCGTCGCGGGTTATCCGTGCGGGAAGAGAGAAAGCGATTTAGACAAGACAGGAGCGCTTTGCAACCAAAAGTTGAAAGACTTTGTGTGGAATCCTGTAATGGTTTTCAAGTCGGTCATCCTAGTCAAAGACAACATGACTGCCTCATGATGAACGAAAACGAACGAGGGCAAACAAGGAATCTATTCGTCACAAAAATCATATTTTAAACATATTTTAGACATATTTTAAACTAAACAGTTGCTAATCCCGGGTTGTCAACGCCGTTGTTAAGGTCAATATTTGCATGTTGTTCAACGTTATTTAGCAAATCTTCTACATACATATATACTGTTAAGATGACCGAGAAAGATCATCAGTAAGCTTATGAAGAATATGGGTTAGAATTGGAACAGTTGTAATATATTTTCCGATAAAAACATGTAGTCGTTATATACGTTGTTATGTGTTGCTAAGTCATTAGCGACGCTTGAGTGCATGCATATATTAACGTACAATACTAATCAGGCGGCTGGTTTGCGCGGGCGGAAAAACGGGCTTTGCAGGCAAAAGTTTACATATGATTTCAGGGGGGTTTTTTTTTGGTTGTTTTTTTTTTTAATTCATTTATTGCTATCTTGAGTTGTATAAACACGTGCACATGGAAGTTAAAGGTTATGATATATAATTGTCAAGCGATTTCTATATTTTAGTGCTAGGTTTTTAAAGTACTAAAACTCGGATAAGGTTAATAAATTTAAGCTATATTAAAGCAAATCGGTTGCTATGTGTTGTCTAGGTGAAACTAATTAAAGGATTAATTTTTAACAGAGATTTTGTATTTTCTAATGTGGATAAATGCGGATAGATTAGGATATGCATTGCGCGGGCGTCGCAGGTTGTCCGTGCGGGTTGGAAGCACAACAATAAGGAGGCTTATATTGGAAGAGAGAAAGCAGTTTAGACAGGACAGGAGGGCTTTATACCAGAAGTTTACACGAAAATTCAGTCTTAAAATACATTTATTTCTTCGAGACGTTTACAAAGTTAATGTGGTTTACTTCTTAGAGCATAATGTGTTTGATTTTATATAAATTACGCACAACAATTTAAATGTTTTTTGTAATATGAGTCGTTTGGCTTAATTGTTTATTCGCCATGGTTTCTATACTCCTGTAGCCCTACATCGACCCCACATCAACCCTACATCGACTCTAGATCGACCCTACATCACACCCACATGTCGCCGGAAAAAATCTTTATCTTATTATCCCTATCTTTATGAAAGACTATAGTCCTGACTATGAAAGACTATAGTACTAACTATGAAAGACTATAGTCCTGACTATGAAAGACTATAGTCCTGACTATGAAAGACTATAGTCCTGACTATGAAAGACTATAGTTCTAACTATGAAAGACTATAGTCCTGACTATGAAAGACTATAACTATGAAAGACTATAGTCCTAACTATGAAAGACTATAGTCCTGACTATGAAAGACTATAGTCCTGACTATGAAAGACTATAGTCTAACTATGAAAGACTATAGTCCTGACTATGAAAGACT